CCTTTATCAGATATATAGCATACAAATATCTACTCCCATTCTGTGGGTTGTCTGTTCATTTTAGTGATAATTTCTTTGGCTGTGTGGAAGCTTTTTAATTTGATCAGGTTCCATTTATTTATTTTTATTGTTACTGTGATTGCTTTTGAGGTCTTCTTCATAAATTCTTTGCCTAGGCCAATGTCTATAAGAGTTTTCCCAACATGCCAATGTTTTCTTCTAGAATTCTTATGGTTTCATGCCTTAGGTTTAAGTCTGTTATCCATCATGAGCTGATTTTGTGAGAGGTGAAAGGTGTGGATCCTGTTTCAGTCTTCTACATGTGGCTATCCAATTTTCCCAGCACCATTTATTGAATAGGAATTTTTCCCCCTAGTGTATGTTTTGTCTGCTTTGTCAAAGATTAGATGGCTATATGAGGATGGTTTTATATCTCGGTTGTCAGTTCTGTTCCATTGATCTATGTCTCTGTGCCAGTACCATGCTGAGTTATCTCCAAACTTTCTAAAGTCTAAAGCTCCTAATTTTGTGTTTAAACTCATAAAGATATCTGTCAGTTCCATTCTTTTCTCTTGGAGCTCTCCTGGAGCTATTCAGACTCCTGCTCAACTGTATACTATTTGTTCTGTAGATCTATTGCACAGCTGGCAGTTTGCTTTACCCACTAACCTGGTAATATTTTCTCTCCCTCCTCCATTTCATTTCATTTTCTGGATTTTATGTCTTCCTTTTGTTTGGTTTACTCCCTTAAGTTATTGAAGAATATTTGGTAAATTTATTGAGAGCTTGAATATCTGAAATTTTCAGATGTCAAAAAATCAAATGTCTATTTAAAGATTTTGTTAAGTGTAGAATTATAGATTAGGAATTACTTGCCACTAGCATTTAAAGGCGTTCTTCCATTGTCTTCTAATCTCTAATGTTATGATATTTATCAACATTCTGATTTGCAATTCTTTTCTGAGAACCTTCACTTCCCCTCTGGATCCCTGGTTCTCAACCCCAGGGAAATTTTGCCATCCAGCAATATTTGGCAATGTCTGGAAATATTTTTGATTGTCATAGATGGCAATAGTGCTGAGGCTGAGAAACTTTACTCTAGATAAATTAAAGTTCTTATATTTATCTCCAGTATTATAGAATTCCATCGTGTTATAGCGTAAGAATTTTGTCATTTATTGTACTGGTTATTCAATGGGACTTTTCAATCTTGAGATATATTCTTCAGACTAGGACATAGTTGGGTTTTCTACTTTAAAAAATTATTTCCTCCATTCAATTTTTTTATTCTATAACTCCTGCTAGTTGTATACTGATCTCCTTGACTGATACTTCATTTTTCTTGTCCTTTTTCTATTTACTATCTTCTGTCTTTATTTTCCTGGACTCTAATAGATGGAAATAATTTTATAAAATTGATCTATAATAAATTAATAACTTCTAATTAAAACTATCAGATTGAATATAATAAAACAAAAATGAAACTATAGAACTTGCTTCAGTTTAGATAAATAATCCCTATTAGGTTAAAAAACAAGATTAGGATGCATATTAAGATGTTAGCATTACTAAACTGCCTGCTTAAAAATGAGCAAATATTCTTACATCTCCTCCCTCCTTTCCTCGCCTCACTTACACCTTTTGTGTTTTATCTATATTGTTACCTTATGAATGTTTATAACATTTATAATGTATTTTGAAAGGATACTACCCATAATTGTTTAGACACTTTATATTTTAAAAAATTTAATTTGAAGTCATATAATGCTATACTTTTTCAATTTTATTCGAGTGAGACTGCCCAGGGATAACCACTTTGATGCTTTTAACTGTTTTTCCCCATATTTACTTGCATATTTCTAAATCACATGCTTATAAAATGCTTTTTTTTCAAATTTTGGTCTTAGATATTGTCCATTTACTTCCTTTCTTAAGGGGCTCTCTCTCTCTCTCTCTCTCTC